TAAAATTCCAATTTAATCATAATGACTAAATTGATATATTGAAATGTTAGCAAATTTATATTATTGTTCTTTAACTCCCCCCCATAAGAGGCTCAAACCACCCTCACCAACTAGCTGGCCACCGAACCTTTAGCGCTAGGTGCCGCCACTGTAGTTCAAGTGGCCATAGGTTGTCAGAGCTTTGGTAACTTGCTGATAATCGGTCGCTAGAGTTTCGGTGGCTGACAACTAGTTTTTTGGAGGTTTTTACAACTTTAGTGATGCGGTTAACAAGTTTTTTTAATGTTATTAACAAGTTCAATATAGCAGTTAACAAAAAGTTTTCTAAAAACTTCAAAAAGTAGCATTTTAACAACTCCAATAACACAATTAACAAGTTCTTTAATGTAATTAACAAGTTTAATATAGCAGTTAACAATAGGTTTTTTAGGAAATTTAAAAAGTGACAACATTCTTACAACTTTGGTAACATGGTTAACAATTTCTTTAACACTATTAACAAGTTCAGTATAGCAGTAACAACAAGTTTTTAAAAAAATTAAAAAAGTAGCATTTTTATAACTTCAGTAACGTAATTAACAAGTTTTTTTAATGTTATTAATAAGTTCGGTATAGCAGTTAACAACAATTTTTTCTGAAAATTCAAAAAGTGACATCTTTACAACTTCATTAACGCAATTAACAAGCTCAATATAGCAGTTAATAACAGGTTTTTCAAAAAGTGGTATTTTCACGATTTCAGTAACAAATTTAACAATTTCTTTAACACTATTTCAGTATAGTAGTTAACAAAAAGTATTTTTGGAAAATTTAAAAATTAACATTTTTACAATATTAGTAACATAATTAACAAGTTTTTTTAAACACTATTAACAAATTTAGTACAGCAGTTAACAATAGGTCTTTTAGAAAATTTAAAAAGTGGCATCCTTACAACTTCAATAATGCAATTAACAAGTTCTGTAATACTATTAACAAGTTCAATATAACAGTTAACAATAGGTTTTTCATGAAATTCAAAAAGTGATATTTTTACAAACTTCATTAATGTAGTTAACAAGTCATGTAACGATATTAACAACTCTTATAACGCTATTAGCAAAATTTCTCTACGAATGTTGATGTTTTTAATATTAGCTCCCTATATATCAAAATTTTTCATCTATTAAGCAGTCATTATGGTTATGAAAGTTGTTAATATCATTACATGACTTATTATTAGAATTGTTAGCTATTATACAGAACCTGTTGACCACGTTACTGAAATTGTAAAAATATACTTTTTAAATTTTCTGAAAAACTTACTCTTAACTACTATACCGAACCTGTTAGTAGCGTTAAAGAACTTGTTAACCGTATTATTGAATTTATAAAAATCCCTAAAAAAAATTGGCCATCGAAGCTCCGACAGTTGTCGAAGTTCTAATGAATTGTGACCACCTAAACTCCTTTGATAGTCGTTGGCGCCATAGGTCAGGTGGTCGACTAGCTAGTAAGGGTAGCTTTAAAAAAAAAGTTAAAGGACAATAATGTAAATTTCTCAACATTTCAAAATCCCAAATTAGTCATCATGAAAAAATTGGAATTTTACAAGTTAAATTTGCTATTTGGGGTTTTGCAAATTCAATGATGATTTTATTGGAATTTTCCTAAAAAGAGTTTCATTTGTATTTTCTTTTGAAAAAGGGTTTGCTATTTAAGAATATCTCGGTTTTCTATTCTCCTATCAATGGCCCTGTAAAGCGTCAAATAACAAATAGGCTAAGGGATGTAACCAATGAACAATGCTATGTTTCCCCCTCCCCCCAAAGTACATGTGTTCTCTTATTTGAGACAATCCTATTCGAGACACTGTCAGGCACTTCTCCTAACGGGGATTCAAACCTTAGTTCCTCACATTATGAAGGATTAGTCTTTTCTGCTAGACCCAACCCCTGTTAGTTGAACAATGCTATGTTCAATAATGAGGATTTGGGACCTTATAATGAGCTTGATAAGGCCCTATAATTGGGCCTGGGCCTGGGCCTTTTTGAGAATGAAGTCACTTGGTCTCATTTTTATTTTTGTTTTTTGTCATTGAGGGGTTAAAGATTAGGAAGGGCAAAAGAGGGGGATTGGTAAGAATCCGACCAGACCAACCAATTTGGTTTGGTAACTAACATAGATTGGATCTAATAGAAAAGACTAATCTTCTACAATATGATGAATAAAAATTTAAATTTAAATTTAAAGAGAGAGATACTCATATCTAATATTTAATATTTAACAGTGTCTTGAATAGGATTGATTCTAATAGAAAAATACTCATATATATACTCCTCCGGTCCTAATTATAAGACCCAATTGACTTATTTGAGGAGATTAAGGAAGTAAGTTAAGGTGGTTATTTATAATAAATAAGTGTTGTTATTCCTAAAATATCCTTGCTAATTAAGTATATTGGCTAAATTATCATTATTAGAAGGATTATCTTGGAAAAAATGCATAAATATAAGAGAGAAAATGGATTGGGTCTTATAATTAGGACCAAATAAAAAGTCAAATTGGGTCTTATAATAAGGACCGGAGGAATATATATATATATATATAGAGAGAGAGATATAGGCCGAAGAGAAGCCAGTTTGGTCTGTTTTGTCGTATTCTCATAGCACCTACTTTGCCTAGTGGCCCATGAGAAGAAAGAACTACGCTGCTCGTGATCAATCAAAATATAGTTTAAAACTACCTTATTGAATAATTCAATTAGTTACGAATTAATCTTTTAGTCCTCAAAATTTTAATTCACTTAAAACTCAATTGTATAAATCAGTTTTGGGGCTTTTAACTCCATTAAAAATCAGGCCCTAACCTTTTAAATATTTTATAATTTAGTCCTTTTCATTTATAATCCATGCCAAATCATCATTGGGTCATCCTACATAGCAAAAAATATATTAAAAATTCCCCCGTGGCTTTGCAGCTTAGCTCTCTTGGTGGGTTTCATTAGAAGTCTGGGAATAAAAAAACAAAGCTTTCAGATACACAGAACACGAAAATAACGTCGGCGACCGCACTCTTCTCTTCTTCATCGTTTCTTATTCGGCCATTGTTTGCAGCGATGACCAAGTACAAGATTAAGAAACACCAATGAGATCATTGACTGGGTTTGAGTCATTCTTATAGGCTGAAATTTTGATAATTTACAGTTTTGTTCTTGGAGTTTAATGGTGAATGAACAAGCTATAATTTCAACGGGTGGATTGTTAATTTCCACCGTCCTTTTTTTCGTTGCAAGTTGATCCCAAGAGATCTTAAATTCTTAGGTATGGTGTAATGGATCTGTTTCCAACTTTGCAGAACCTCGCAGTTCATTATTTTTGGACTGAAAAAAGATATGGGAGTGCCATTGACTCAGACATTTGATGTTAAAAGCTTGATGGATCATTTGATGAACAAGTGGCCTCTCAAGAATAATGGCCTCCCATCAAAGAGTTGTTCGAGTCTTGGGTCAAGTCACTGGGTAAGAGTGGGAAGTCGAATAAGAAGTGATGAAGAAGGGCTGAGGAGGAGAGTGAGAGGGTGAGATCGCCCAGTTTTTTAATAAACCCACCAAGACAGCTGAGCTGCAAAGCCACCAGAGAATTTTTATTTATTTATTTTTTTGCTTGCGGATGACTCAATGATGATTTGGCATGGGATATAGATGATAAGGACAAAATTATTAAAAATTAAAAAAGTTAGAGATTAAATTTTAACTTAGCTAAAAGTTTAAGAACTAGATTATACCGAGTTATAATAAAAGGATTGAGTTTTAAATAAGTCAAAACTTTAAAGACTGAAAGATTAATTTTAGAATAATAGAAATGTGCAGCGAGAAACGACAAAGAAACTTCTTTTTTTATACAATTTAAATATACAAGCACACAAATATGTTAATATTAGACTCCTGTTTGAGACCTCTTCCAAACAAAGTGCATGATGGATGGTGTTACTGTTAGGACAAGTTTGTTTCTGGCAAAGGAATTTCTTCCAGGGACAACTTCAAGCAAATCAGTGAAGAGCATGTTTTATTTTCATAAAAACCACTTTCGATATGTTGACTATAATTGATACGACATGATTTGGGGGTGATTTTCCTATTATTACTTGTGACCAAATTCCCATATTTATCATTTCATTCATTGTAGTTATTCTAGAATAATTTTGTCTTCGTTAGGACAGGATTGCTTCTCCTGTTATGTGAGAGTACATGCCCTCCTGTACGAAATGAATGATTACACCCAATTCGGCCTCTTGCTCTCACAGTAAGGGGCATCATTATAATTTACATTATTTGGGATGTTAATGTGGTTGTCTTGCTTATTAAGGGGTGTTTGGATAGAAACCAAACCATGGTTTCAGAAGTGCTTTTACGGATTACGAAGTAAATATGTGGAGGAGGTTACCTCATTTTGCGGAAAAGTGATTCTGAAACCTAGGTTTTGGTTTTGCCAAATCAAACTTCCATAATCACTTAAGGAAAAAAAAAATTCTTTTATATTTTACAAGAAAAAACTCTTATCACATATTTATGGCATATAAGTCAAAATCACTTAAACTAAGCTACTAAACACAGATCAACGTTCTTCTGGAGCAAGTCTCACATTCGAAATTCATACGGTGGGGTTACCTCGTTTCAGCAAAATAATATTCCAAGGCGAAGGTGGCTTGGGAATCTTGTGATAATCAAGTTAATTGGTCTTTTGAAAGATTGGGCTGTATTATGCGATGGATATTTTTTTTTTTTTTTTTTGGGGGGGGGGGGGAGAGGTAAATTTTTCAGAGTGCAAGCTAGGATTTTCCCTGACGGATCCTTCCTATGAGACTTTACGAAAGAAACACAGCTTTTCACTACTAAGAATGCTGCTACTTTTGATCTCTTCGTCGACTTCTATACAGAATAAGAGTATCGGGGGGCTGCTAATGGAAGGAAGATACAACATCACAATGGCAGTCATCAGCTGATTATCTACTTTGTTTGCTTTGGTTCTGGTTATCTAATTAGTGTGATTACTGACTAATGGAGGAACCCTTTTTCAAGATCAGAATCAACAAGCACGAATGACGCAGAGACGGAAAAGTCCGAACTCTTGAGACTGGGAAATACAAGAAATTCCCCCCTTTGCTAAAACCAAATTGCAATTTGTAAAGCACTGTTCTACATTTATTACACAACACCCCACATGCATGGAACTACACGTTCCAAAGGGTTCATCAACGGTATGTGTCAGGCATGATGCAACTCTGAATCCACCAAGCCCATGGCTGCTGTCCCTCTGTTAGTCATATTTCTTACCTTCCCTTCCATTCTGCTCAACGCCAAGTTTGGTCTCCTCCTTTAACTAAATCAAATCACCAAGTAACTAATTAGGGAACACCAAAAGCTTAAAATATAAAAATAAGGGTTATTACAAAAGTTACAGTGAAAAAAAGGACACTTTACCTTCCGAATCATTTTCTTATGGTACCTATAACCCTGTGAAATAAAGAGAGAGGATTATGTAAAACATATTTAGACGTAGAAAGAAAATTATGCAGTTTTGTATATACAGCAAGAAAATTCCAGGATCTCGGTGTAACCTTGTCAGTTCCATAGATGTAATCACAGTAAGTGAAAACTGAAGCGAAGTTGCTATGGCTTTGTCCTCCAACATAATGATGGTAATCATGATGCTCTGCGCCAGCATAAAAGGGAATATATTTTGTGGGGCTCCAGGGTATGTCGTACCTAACAAGAAAATATAAGCAACGAGAAAAGACGGTAGAAACCAAAATTGCCATGAGAATATACCAGAGATGAATGATGCTACTGTTCTGTTTATGAATGCACAAAAACGAAAGCCATGTAATCTGAACCCAAACAAGCAAGCTATCAAGCCCTAATCAGCCATTCCTACGAGAGTATTCACACTGTATCTCTATCAGGTGTGTACAGGTGTCACATGGCTATGTATTGTATAAGTACCTAGCATTGGCATCCTTTGTGCTCACAACATATTTTACAGAAGTAATGGGAATAGTGGTGAGGAATAAATATAATCATTACTTGTCAATTCATACTTCAGCATTTTTTTTGTCGAGAAACCTAGGCAGGTCATAATTCTCAACGTTTGTCCTGGACAAAATAGAGTTACTTGGAATGCAATTGGATTCTAGCTACCCTGGCTAATTTCGGCACAGTTTTTCTTCTAAAGGGCTTCTTTACAGTAGCCTCGCATCATGATAGACTGCAAAGGACCCACAAGTTCATAATGAAAGTTCGACCTTTAGTACCAAACTTCGACCTTCTATTTTAAGCCTTCACTTGTTCACAACAACAGAATGATGCGAGGAGACAAATTTGCTCAAACTTCTCATCAGATTTCTATGATGTTCGAAGTGAAAACTTATAAAGCAAATTAATGTTTGAAACCAAGTGGTCGTCAATATTGTATGTTGGCTCCCCAACATGTAACAGACTTGTGAGGAACTTCATTAAGAATCAACTGAAGCGATATAGAGTTAAAACATAACATAGACGGGGTGAAAAAGAAGCAAATAGAAGTGAGACCGAGCAGACACATTCGAAGACAGCCTTGTAAGGCAGTGAAACTTGAGAAGACACTGAGAAACACTCCAGAAATGTATTTTCCAACCTCCACTCGTACCACTGCTAAGAGACAGTGAGTATACTCTATCCCAATAAAAAAATATAAGACAATAAGGGGGGCATTATAAGAAAATCACAGGGCAACCGAAGGGCCAGAGTCACGTGACTAATGAGCTTCGATTAATCAGATCCATCAACCTCCACTCCACTCTCTTTCCAAGTCACATTGTCAGAGGATTATTCCTGAGGGAGGGACAAAGAGGGGAAAGCACTAAGCAACTCCTTGATCTGTCTATGTCACCATAACCATAAGGGTTCCAATCTTTGCCAGCACAATAATTCTTGACAACCAATTTATCAATAGAAATTAAAAAAATTTATTGACAAAATTTTAGAGGAAAAAAGAAGCACAGCAATGCAATAAAAAGGGTAATAACCGAGAAGGATAAAAGGCTGTCAAACTGAACGTCGGCCCCATTAGCTCCCCATCAGTAAAAGCAAGCCACTATTAGAGATCCTTAAAATCCCAAGTACTTTGCATGTAAATTTATTGGTGAAAAGAAACAGATGATAAAGAAAATTTTAAAGTAGGCAGGTCCACAGGAAATCAAGTAAAGCAGAAAAGGCCATTGAGAAAGTGATAGAGCCGGAGATTGTAGCAGTCATTACCCACTGTGAGTGTCAATTGCTTCAATCTGCCGTAATGCTATCCACAACCAAAGTGTAATCATGTGCCCAGGAATCATAGCCGGCCCAAGGAAAGAAGGAATTCCAAGGATCAATATCTCCGCCCAATGGGCATATGGTGCGGCGAAGCCAATTGGAGCTGCGTATTCATGGTGAACTCGGTGAATCTTCTCGTACCCCCACTTACCGTGCAGAAGCCTGTGAAGCCAGTAATTGGTATAATCCTCGATCAAAAAATACACCACCAGCTGTGCAAAAATTTCCCACCCTGACGGCAATGGCAGCCCTGTCCGGACTCCAATCATCTGAAAATAAACAAAAAGAGCAAATTCCGAGCACTAAACTTCGTTGCACAATTTAATAGCAAGTCTAAAGGAAATAAGCACAATATCCAAATTGCAGGTTCAAGCGTCGTCTTTAGAATTTGGAAGGAATTTAGATGAACTCAGAAGTGACTTTACTCGTTGCACGAATAATTTATAAAAGTTCAAATTCCAAGTATATGTCCAACTGGATGTCGCGACTGAAATACCATTGCAAATACAGGGTGATCAGCTCAACGGATCTCATTTAGATTGCAGATGCCAAGTGAATTATGACACATTAGAATTTTCAAATAAGGGGAAAAAACGCACGGAAACGAATAATGTGAACGGAATTATCCTATTAATCAAGAAGTGAGACAGAATTGGCAATCGACACAATCAGATTCGAAGAAACTCAAATCTAGCAGCAAAAAATATCGAACCAGTCTAGGAGCATACCTTGACTGTAGGATAGGAAACGAGCTGGAGAGGCCCAACGACGAGGAAAAACAAGCGCATAACCTCCTTGTAGCACCTGAACATTTCTTGGAATGACAACCGAACCTTGGGCTGAATCTTGTACTTATCAAAGCCGCGTAAACGCTTAACCTCCAAGAGGATGAGAGGAACCGGGACAACGGAGAATATGAGGAAGAGGAAAAAAATGTTATGGCAATAAAGAAAGTAATCGGACTTAGTAGCGGAGTAATTGAACCAAAGAGTCTCAGCGAAGGTGAGATTCCTGCCAAGAGCGGCCTGAGCCCCAGGCAAAGAATGGTAAGGCAGCATTGAAGAAGAAGAAGAAGATCGTGGCCGGAACCCTAGTAACGCGGACCGATGAAAAATGGGGATGAAGAGAGGAGGGAACCAGAGTGGGGAGTGGAAATGTGGGGACTATGGAGAGAGGTATTTGGCGGATTCTGCTATGGGAATGCGAGGACATGGCAGGAGGCAGTGAGATTTATTTGCGGGAATTTTCTTTTGAAAAGGGCTCCATATATTTGCCAACCTCGCTGTCCAATGTACGTCGAAAGCCACGCATAAACCCTGTAATTTGTGTTCATGAATTGACATTATTGGCATTGGATTTTAGTGTATGAACATTATTTAACTGTGTAGGTAATGGAAAGTACAGGACAAACCTGATGCGGCTATTTAAAACAAATTGGCTTGATCCCGTGAACCAGAATAGTTCAATATATGTCACCTCCTATTTTAATTATAAGATCTCATTTGTAATCTATAAATAAAGTTTTATAATTATAATTTGAACTAGAGGTAGGATGTAGTCTTAAGACTCGTTTGGTATGCTGAAAATCTTACAAGAAAAAAAGAAAATTCAGATTTTCCATCAGCTGAAGACGTCTGGTAACTCAATCTTTTTGGAAGCCATTTTTGGCAGCGGGACATCTTCCTCTAAAGATGGGAAGATGGCTTCCCACCATTTTTGGTGGGAACCCATTTTCAATCCGGCTGAGAAAATTTTTAAGACAAGTTTACCCCTAAAAGGGAAAACAACAAGTGACGGAGATGATAAAGGAGGAGAAGAAGAAAAACTAGATGGAGCATCAAAATCATACTGCTAAAATAAGAAATGAGAGGAAACACATTTAAATACTTTCTAAATTAAACCATTGAATAATGAGCGGGCATTTTTAGATGAAGCAATCTGATCTTTCCTATTCAATACTTGAAAAACAACGTGTTCAATGTTGCTGAATGTGAGTGACCTATGGAGAAGGAAGATTATTGCGTTAATCAACTCTTTAACAGCAACAAGGTGTTCAATTTGCATTACCCAACTCTTTGTAAGCTTTTCAACAACATATACCTCAATAAAAAATGTTCTCATATGAAAAACATATGATTTTTCAAATCCGGTTCAAAATATGGGGGAAAAAAACATTTCCAATCCTTGTTCACTATTTTGATCATAACTTTAAAATTACAAATCATTTTTGAATGGATCATATTGCATCTAAAACTAGACTCAGAAAGCTTTTCAATAACAGTTTATTTGTCCAAATTGAATTTAAATTGAGAAAATTATATTTAATTGAAAATTACTATGTTTAGTATGTCCAAAATAGAGTGTAACAGAGTGTTTGAGTAAGACGCAATGAAATCCAAATTTTGTGTAAAAGTTGAAATGTATCGTGCATGAATTGCAATTTGTTTATAAAAATTTCAATTTACATTAATAAATCCATGATTGAGTTTTAAGCTACGACAACAAAATGAGTATATTCAAATTTGATACAAGCGAATTTGCTTCTTTTTTTTTGTGTAGATTCAAATTTGATACAAGAACATTTGAAATTTCAGCATCAAATTCAATTTTGCTTACTCCTTTCCTTATCATATTGAAGCTTAAATTTTATCGGACATAATTTTATCAATTTAAATATAAATATGGCAAATGACCTATCACTAAAAAGCTATTTAAGTCTAGTTTCTAATGAAATAAAAATCCATTCAAAAATTTGAATTTGATCCGCCTCATGGCTTGGAAAGTAAGGAGGTGAAAATCCAAATTGATAGAGATGACGAGAAATATAATGACAAAAAAACCATTGGAAACATTCAGAATTGCAAGCATTTCAAAGAGGGAGTTGCCGCAAGAGAATATAAGAAAGAAGTATAATGACTAAAAACAAACGTCACTTTCATATTTATATTTATATTGAGTATTTATACTTATTTATTTATTTAAAATATAATTTATTATAATTTTTATTAATTTAATTTTTTGGATTATTAAATTTTTTAATAGTATTATTATTCTTTAATTTTAAAAAGCATTTTTATTTAATAATGTTATTTTTTTCCATTAAAGGGTAACATGATAAATTGTATAATCTTTCAATTCATTTTCATCCAACAAAACATACAATTTTTCATCAACCCTTTTTTCATTTCAGTGCTTACCAAACATGCCATTATTCAGAAATTTTTCATGCCATTCTTTTCCTTTTCATTTCTTTCTATTCCAACCAATTCTTCCCACACCAATCCCCCTTATAGAATTTTTAAGTACCCCTCTTTCCCCTTCTCACATATGTTTAAGGAAAATATAAGCTAAAAATTAGTTAGATAGTTAAATTTGTTGAAAATAAATACTAGTAAATAAAATCCTATTGCCATTATTTTCATTAATTACTTTCTTTGTTTATCTTATAATTTTTTTTTTTGGAAAGGAATTCTCGTATTCTATGAGGGTAAAGGTACATCCAATACATTAACTTATTTCCTAGATGCATCTAAAACCTCAAAAAAAATTTTATGAACTAACTAGAAAAATAACATCATGGTGCTAGACGCACCAAAAAATAAAAGTAGGTGCTGGATGAACCATAAAAAGATTGGGATGCTAGATGCACCTAAAAAATACAATTAGGATGCTAGATGCACTTTTGTCCTATAATTTATCCAGCAAGGTTTGAAAACAGAATAGTAATGAAACAACAAACAACAAAATTAACCAATTTCTACTTTAATTAGACCAGACAACACTATTCAACAACTTTTTTTTTTTTTGGGAAAAAAGGAGGCAGCAAGCAATAATAGAGCTAGTAATATGGATTGGATCTGCAAGTTTAATCTGTCAACCCAATAGGACGGGTTAGGATTGGTTGAAAGCTAACCTACTAACCAATGAGCCTTTTTAATTCATGCCACCTCACACTAATTTGTCACAAGCCAACTCGCAACTTGGGGCTAGCTTGTATTATTAGCTTTAGGCATGGGATTCAATTCAAAGGGCATACCTCTTTAAGAGTAGCCATAGGCAGTCTATCAACAATTAAGGGCTTCTTTGAAGCCACTTTTGATAAGCACTTTTATATAAATTAAGATAAAACTCCTATCAAATACTTATCTTATATTTTATAAATCATGATTGAAAAGTTGGTTTTCGCTACTCCAAATAAGCCTTGCCTTCTTTGGGAATTCAATTCACTGAATAATTTTTGTTAAATTTCCTTTTTGAAATGATATTTTCAATAAAGATGTCATTTCTTCAATTAGATGTTATAAATTCTTGATGCAAGTTTCTTGTTATCAGATTCAAAAATCGCATTTTCTAGTTCATTATTGACATCATATGTTATATTGATTCATCCATGGTCACTGCTTTCACCATAAGCACCAAAGAAGCCGGGCATTTGTCACTTTTCCATTTAGCAACCATCCATTGGAATCTCTAATCACAAACTTGATTGCAACTTCTTATGAGTTTTCTGCAAAAGTCCCATCTAAATTTTAAATTAATTTTAAGATAATTAGCAGTTGGAAGATGCCAATTACTAACAGCAGATTTGACAACGGTATCAGAAGCACACCAATTATTAGCCTCTCAAAACTTTTGTACAATGTGAAAAACTAGGTGCAGTTGGGCATATGAGTAAAAAACAACCTGATCCTCATATTGTTCTTGAATAATTATTTTTAATTAAACTCTTGGATTTAACAACCACATATATATATATATATATATATCGAAGGAACTAATGGGGGAAAAAAAACCCCTCCATTTGTTGATGTAATGTGTTTTGAACTAACCTAATGCAATTAATTGATGTCCCTAAAATATTTCAATCTTATTAAATGTGTCTTTAATTAAATACAGTTAATTATCTTAATGAGAAATGAACCAAATTAATTTGATCAAATAACTTTTTTATTTGTTTGGGATTTTTTAAAACTAAACACATCATTTTCTCTTAACATTACAAAATGTCTTATAAATTAAAACATTCAACAACAATAACAATAAGTTTTACAACATTAGATGAAGTTCGTTACATAAATTATACGGCATTGTTGTGCTTTGTTAATAACAAAATATTTTGATAATTTGTACTCCTCTGGTCCTTAATATAGGACCTAATTGCTGAATTGATGTTGGTTCTAAATATAAAATCTATTTCTCATATTTATCATTTTTTTTAAATTATCTCTATGGATACTCTCTCAACTATAATCAAGGAGAAGATGGAAGAATGATATTAAAGAAAATTATTATGGTATTTTAAGAAAAATATATCATATTTCTTATAATTATTCCTCCGGTCCTAAATATAAGACTCATTTTGTAATGAAAATTGTATTACAAAATGGGTCATATATTTAAGACCGGAGGAGAAATTTACCTAATTTTTTTAATTTAATCAAATTAGTTAAATAAGTCTTATATTAAAAACTGAAAGAGTACATCAAAATGTCCCTTCAATAATTTGGTTAAATGTTTTGTTCAGTCTTCTTTGATTACAAATTAAATTACAAAATGAGTCTTATATTTAAGACCGAATGAGTAACTAACTTACCTAATTTTTTTTAATTTAATCAAATTAGTTAAATAGGTCTTATATTAAAAACTGAAGAGTACATCAAAATGTCCCTTCAATAATTTGGTTAAATGTTTTGTTCAGTCTTCTTTGATTCTTTTCTTTTTTTTAGAGGATTTCATATAATGCATGATCTATTCTGTTTACCCACGTCTCCAATGACATTTTTTTCATAACAAACAAGGATCCTCATATCAACCCAAAGTCGATTTTGATTTTTGAATAAAATCAAATGACATGTATAAGTACAGTACAAGACATCAAATATTTTCACTGAAATAAAAATAAAGAAAAAGAAATCGAATTTTTCTTACACCCCAATGCCACCACATCAATTTGATCCAATGGACTAGCCCCCTGAATTCGTCCCCGATAATGCCAAGAGTTATAAATCTGTATCTTATTATTTTCTGTTTTTTTTCTTGTCCATGGTATCTTCTCTCATTAAATACGAATACGACATTCTTTTGTTAAAAAAATTAAGTTACTTCTTTATTAATTTTTTTTTCTAAACACCGCCAATGTTGTTCTTAAAACTATTTATGATATTCAAAGAAAATCACGAACATTTATGTATTTAATTTTTTTACCACTTTTAATGCATTTAATTATGACAAATAATACTTTTAGTCTTTTAACTTGTTAAATACTTTTTTTCCAACAAACAAAACTTTTTATG